GAAGGGAAAATACATATAGAGAAACAGTGGAGAGCAAAAAAAAGGAATAATAGAATCAGCTGAGTATAAAATACATTTTCAGAAGACCATTAGGAAAAAAGTAGCAGTACAATAAAGAAACAAAATAATAGATAATGAGAATAGGTATAGATTATGGTCCTGATCCCACACACATTTATGCACATGCATAACTTTACTCACAAGTAGTCCCATTAACTTCAGTGAGACTATTCTTGTGAATAATCATTTAAGTTAACAGGATGACTTGTGCAAATAAAGTTCAGCATGTGCACAAGAATTGGCAGAATTTGGTCCTATACTGTCTCTTGCTGTGTACATCCATAAAACACAGACTCAGGAACTTAAACTCAGATGAAGAAAAAAAGTTTAAAATAATAGGCCCCAAAGGAAGCATTAACCATGGAAACTAGTAGAAGCCTACAACAAAGAATTTCTGGGAATACCCCAAAGGCTAATTTGGCAATGCCATTAATGTTACTGTGCTCTCTGAACCACAATATACACACTGCAATTTCTATTTTATACTGTAGAGCACTGGTTAATTGGTTACAAACTAGGGTCAAGATTTTCAAAAGCAACTAGTATAACTGGCCAAAACTCAGGAGTTTTGCTTAACAAATAGTTTCAGTATTTACAAATTTGCTTTTGTACCAATTTGGAAGTTTTGTTCTGAAGACTCCAAGATATGGCAATCCTAAAACAAAATATGACATCCATATTCTTGTCAGTTTTATTGCTGTCATTGAATGAATAGCAGTCGTGAAACTGACAAGAATGTCAATTTCATTCAGCTGCTTCTTGGCAGGGAGTCAAGGCTTTCAGCTTTGCTATGGTCCCTGTCATGGACCTGGAAGTCTTAGGACTGGCTCCTAGGGTCTGTGGCAGCCCTGCAATGTGGGCTTCCTAGTGTTTCAGCAAAAGTTTTATCAAATCTGTAATAGATTTGGCAAACTTTCACTTCAGTAAGTCAACGTTTTCTGACAAAATGTAGTTTCATTGTAAGATTTCCATGCAGCTCTAGCAACTAGTGATTTTAGATGCCTCAATTCTGAGAGCCCTAATTGATTCCTACCTAGAGTCTGCAGAAACACTTCATCTGAAAGGGGAGCAAACCATTCCCATTCATATCAGCATGGGATTAATTCTGAAGACTAATGAGGCAAGTCACTTCACCACACCGTTTCAGCTCATCATTGGTAAAAAGGAAATAATACTACCTCACAAGGGCATTATGAGGAATAGCAAATGCACAGTAGCACATCCTCACTTCATGGGCCTCCCCTCAGATCACAGCATTGCATGGGGGTTTTAGCTCTAGTACCACCTACTGGGGCTCTCCCTTGGACCTGTAATAGCCTCTATCTTCTCCTGTCTCCCCCACTAGGTGTTCTGTGGCTTGGCCCTCCAGCCAAGTCACATAAAAGTCTATACCCCTTCAAGGGTAGCACAAATAAGTCCAAACAAATCTTCAAAAATAACAGCCCTTCTACCCCTCTCAGGCCTCATGGTAGCTCCCTTGTTAGCTCTACCTCAAGGTTTCACTTGCAAGAGCTATCTTGCTTCTGTAGTATGCATTCACCCTCATTTCCTGTTATACACTTCTCCATGCCAGAAACAAATCTCTTCCACGCAACTACAATCCTTCAGTCTACTTATAAGTCCTAGCTAGCTCCATCTGCTCTGGCCAGGAGGCAATTATTTAATTACCCACCAGGTGCAGAGCAGGACTAAGTTCTTTCCCTTGCTTTGCAGGTGATGGGAGTTAAGCTCCATCACAGCAGGATTGTCACAAATGCTAAAAAAGCAAGTTAGGTGCCTATCTCCTATCAATTTTCAATGAGAGTTAGGCACCTAACTTACTTAGATACATTAGAAAATCCCACTGAATGGCTGTAAATCTCTCTACTTAGATAGGCCCCATTACTGTATTATCTGGGCACCTCAAAATCTTCAATGTATTTATTCTCACAATCCTATGAAGTAGGAAAGTATTATCTCCATTTTACAGACGGGGAACTGAGGCAGAGTGACTAAAGTGGCTTACCCAAGATAACACAGGAAGTTTAAAAATGCAGGGAACTGCATCTACATCTTCCAAGTCCCAAGTTAGTGCCCTTAACCATTGGACTATCCTTCTCAAAGGAGATATTATTATTCTTAACTAGTCCTATTAGAAATAACATTCTGAATGATGTTCAAAACTTGAGAAAACAAAACTGAACAAAAGGTGCAGGATTTCTTCAATATCACAATGATTTGTCTTCAGAAAAATATTCTCACTGTGAAAATTGTGCAGAATGCCAGAGCATTAATAACATTAGCCACACAATCCACCAGGAACTCTGACCTTCTCCGCTGTCTGGTCTTATATTGCCAAAATGGTGCAAAACCCCAATATCCTATTAAATGATGGCCAGAAAGACATGGAGCCAGAAATGTCCTGTTACTTTTAGTTGGCCAGGACACTAGCTAGACCTTTACCACTCAACTTTCTCTAAGTGGTATTATGGGTCAGTAGCTAAACTTCCTGATTTTTAATCGTGTACCCTGAGTTCTGTTCCCAGTTCTGCCACTGATATGCTGTGTCACTTTGGGCAAAGCTGCTTAGCTGGTCGGTGCCTCAGTTTCCTTACCTGTAAAATAAGAATAATAATCATACAAATTAAAGTGCTTTTACAGAAAAGGCTAAGTATGGATGAAAACCACTACATAAGAACTAAGTATTGTTATATTAGAAGATGTGGAACTATTTTGAGACTGAATTACTGCATCTCACTCTACCAAATTACCTGAGCCAGAGGTCTACCCACAAACTACACATGCTTCAACATGCAGCAGCTAGTCCACTGGGCAGACCAATGAAAGTACATCACAATACTCTGTGTGCGACACTGGCAAATTCCAGTTATTAAAAGTCCTGGTCCTTATCTTTAAAGTCCTATGTGTCTAAATGAGGGTCAAGCTACTTCAAAGGCCCTCTTCAAGTTACCATAGTAGCTGCTTCAACATGAACACTGGCTGATACAACCCAGATTCTAATTTGCTGGTGAATGCTCAGTAAGTAGAAGGCTCTCAGCTGTGGAATCTATTATGAGCAGAAATCAGGATGAGACCAAGTCTTACTACTTTCAGATCATGATGCAAGACTTCTCCCTTTTGGTAGGCATTCCCCTAAGATTTATGCATGAAGTGGCCCTGACTACAGGACCAAGTGAACGATATAGATTTAACTACTCATTTATTAGCCCCATAAAACTGAATGGAGGGAGAAAAAAAATCAGTTCTTTATTCTGAAGGTTGATGTTTTTTCTTAATTTATGTATGGTGTCTACATATGACAGTGATGGGTTCCTTAGAAATACATATAACAATAATTTCCAACTTCTCATCACAGCTATTAACAACAAATATTTCTGTAGAACTGCTCTATTGATCATACCGTTTTTCTTAATTAACAAACGTTACATTGTTCACTACTGAAATCTGATTATTTCAAATACAATGTTTAGAGTTTGCAAATTATGAATAACAACTGTTATTAGTAGGGGGTGAAAGGAGGAATAAGAGTTAAAATAAATAAAAATATTGAGAATTATGGGAAATCAAATGTTATTGCTCTTTTATCTTGGGATATAATGAGGTTAGCATTCATGATGTTTGAATATTCTTGTTATAAATCATACTTGTGGTCCATTAAACATAATCTTTGTTAATGCCTCCTATACTGAAATACCATGAACATTATCACTTCATTTAATGATATCACACTGATGACTTTTTCTTGGCAGTGGTGACTAGCTATATTTGAAAATGAAGTATAACAAATTGTACAGACAGAACAGCTAACTGGTTGAAACATCTGATTCCAACTACTTAGATCCTCTGGAAACACAAAGTCAGATCCCAAGAGGGGTTTGGTTGTTTGTTCATCCAACGTAGATAAATTGAGTTGCATACAGTTTACTGTGAGTGGCTTTCTGCTGTGGTAAAACAAAACCCCTGTCTACTCTCCACGGTCATTAACAATCCCATGACACTTTTTGTAAGGTTTGCCCTAGAGTACTTGGCCAAAAGTAATCCCCTTCACCTCAGACAAATACACTTCAGTGGTAGATGAATTATTTTCATCATGTACGGTACTGTATATAGTATCAGAGGGGTAGCCGTGTTAGTCTGGATCTGTAAAAAGCAACAAAGAGTCCTGTGGCACCTTATAGACTAACAGATGTATTGGAGCATAAGCTTTCGTGGGTGAATACCCACTTCGTCAGACGCATCTCACTCTACTGTATATAGTTTGTTAAATCATTTTATGAACTAAGGTGATATATATAATAATTATTATGGTAACAAAGCCCTGAAAAGGGCAAGATTGTTTTTATTTAGCAAACCAGGAGTTTCACAATGACAAACTGAGCAAGACCATAAATCCAAAAATTAAAACTATAAAGACAGGTTTCATCCTTGGTTCACATGTGAGCTGATATTGGCTTTTAATTCTGGACTGTGAACTCCCTGAAGTTAGTAATGATAACTATAATATGATGTAAAAAGCAACAGAGGGTCCTGTGGCACCTTTAAGACTAACAGAAGTAATATGATGCATCATGACAGGAAACAAAAGCACAGTGGCTGGATAAAAAGGGGGGGGAGGTTGACACTCTTGACCCCAGCAAAGAATGTGAAGAAACAAACCTACCAGGGTGCTCCTTCCATGTGTTGGTCTGGGCAGGTTTGGTCTTCCTGCCTTACACCATCTCCCAGCGTCCCCTGTGCACCACCTTCTGCCCTGTACCATCTCCCAGTGTCCCTGTGCACCACCTCCCTGCC